TCTATATAGCACTAATAAATCAATACTACAAACCAATAATATTTGGCTAGAAAAGATCTTAACATTTTTGTTCACTGACTGGTCTGAATTTGTAAGAACTGATTCAGTTTAACCTCAATATTGTTTGTAATAACCCCACCCCCTTCACAAAAGGTCCACTCAGTGGCAAGAAATATCTACCAGGAAGAAAGTAAACAAACAGTAGTTCAATAGTCAGATTTTCTTGTTTCCAAGATCCCTCCACCCCCAGCAGCCAAAGAAAAAAAGGAAACTCAAAAGTGGTGGTGATTATTGGGAAATAAATTACTGAAACAGTAAAACCTGAATTGGTTCACTTACCTCAATTAGTTTCAACTACAAATAAATGTCATGTGTCTAATAAAATTGGTTTTATGTGTAGCAAGTGAATATTAAGAATTACAGAATTTCAGGAACCCATTTTTTATCCTATAACATTCCCCAAAACTCCAGATGTTTTAAGGTATCTATGGACCTATGTGACAGCCTCTCTACAACCTTATACGTTTAATACTTTTCAGGATTCAAGACAACATTTTAAAAAACCCAAACTCACACAAATTTCATAAGCAAACATCTCCTCTCCAGATGGCAGGTTACTAAGGCAGTTTTTTATTAAAAATTTCAAACAAAATAGTATAATAAACTCAAGTTTCAATGATAATTATTCAACACACAGCTAATATTTTTTCATATATAATATTCATCCTGAAATTATTTTGAAGCACCTCCCATATTTATCACTCTAAAGCAGTTTTAGCCACAGAGGTCATTACCTAAGCTACATCTCCCTCACACAGGCACCTTTCATGTCCCTGAAATGTATTTCAGGGAAAAATGCCATTGGTCATTGAGGTAGGAGAGAAGACAAGTGTTCTAAATTAAGTTGCTCCTACTAAAACTAAACATTCCAGTTAGGATGAAGGGAAACAAGAGGTTGTCTCTTGCTATATAGGTTGAGTATCACTTATCCGAAATGTTTGGTTCCAGAAGTGTTTGGAATTTCAGATTTTTGGGGGGTTTTAGAATATTTGCATTATATTTACTGGTTGAGTATCCCTAATTCAAAATTCCAAATTGCCACAAAGAGCATTTTCTTTGAGCAGCAAGTCAGTGCTCAAGAAGGTTCAGATTTTGGAGGATTTCAGATTTTCAGATTAGGGATGCTCAGCCTGTATTAGTTCTCTTGAATTCTTATATAAGTTACATAAATTCTTTATTATAAATGTAAATATAAAATACTTTAAAGAGGTTTCATATAAAATGAACTAAATTTGTCCCAGATTTACAGAAGTCTAGATTAAGTTTATGCCCCACCCTCCCTACTAGACTATATCATTATCTATGGAGATCTAAGTTCTGAATGTCTGTTGTTCACATAAAAAAAAAAAAAAAAAAAAAAAAAAAAAAAAACATGATTTGTTTATTTTTTTAAATCCAAAGCTAATTGAAAGGTTAGCCTTGATTATAAGCTTTAAGGAAATGAAAGCTGTTTTAAATTCATCAGTCTTAAATTTCAACAGTAAAACCAACTCAATGTTTTCATCTGCTCTTAATCAAGGCAGAAAACCACAATCAGTTTTGAGAATATATAAAGCACAAAAATGAATTTAATTATTTTTCCTGGCTATGAGAAATTATCGAGATTTTTACCTTTAGCGTAACCAGATTTATGTCAGGAAGGGGCTGGAAAGGTCCCAAACTATAGCGTCTTTATATTTATTTCCCCTAACAATTCTAAATGGATGAAATTTGGTTAAAAGCAGAGAAAAGACAGGATACCTTTTGTAACAAGAGCAACTTAAGAGGTGATCTGTAAAAAGGAGAAATCTACCACTATGTTTATCCTATATGGTGATTAAACATGTTAAGTATTCAGGTTTTGTTTTTCGTCACAAGAAAAACCACTTCCTTTTTACCTGGCAGCTGCCTCCAAGAACGATTACAGACTGCTGCAGCAGCACAGGCTACCCTCATCTCTCCCACAACAATAGGAGAGCCAGGACTCGCTCCTTGATTATTTCTTAGAGAAGACTGATTGTAATACATAAACAAAGAGAACTTTCACGATTTAAGCCAGGCGTCCCCAAACTTTTTACACAGAGGGCCAGTTCACTGTCCCTCAGACCTTTGGAGGACCACCACATACTGTGCTTCTCTCACTGATCACCAACGAAAGAGGTGCCCCTTCCTGAAGTGCGGCCAGATAAATGGCCTCAGGGGGCGGCATGCGGCCCGCGGGCTGTAGTTTGGGGACGCCTGATTTAAGCAGACCATAAATACAGACATCAATTGATAATTAGTTCAATCTAGTACACACATTGCTTTCAGGTTACGTTAATACCAATCATGATTAAATTTCATTAACTGGCAATAGAGCACAAGGCAAGGCAGTATCATATAAGCTTGAAATAAAAACCAATCAACTAGAAATCTAAGGCAAATGTGCTTGTCCCAAAACTCACCAAATTCCAAACCCATATTCTCAAGACTACAACCTTCTAAAACACCCCTTAGAAGCTAGTGAACCACGGATAGCTGAAGATAGAGGACAATCACTTGCTGTGAAATCTGTGTACCTCAGAAATGTTAGCACATTAAAAATATGTTGGGAAGGGGCTGTTCCATAAGCTTGAGTAAAATAAACTTTTATGCAAAACACAATTTGTAGGCTGCACAAATTGAGAACCCAGGAGGTTAGCCGGGAAGTTAAAACACTAATACACACAGTTTGTTGTAAAACATTAGTGCACTGCCATTCATCTCAAGTTGTCAGACGCTAACTTGTAGTGCAAGGCCTTCTTAAAATCAAGGATAAAAAATCAAATCCAATCAGTATTGCCTATTATGAAGCAGAACCGTTTGGCATACTGGCTTATTTAGAACTCACAAATATTAATCATCTTGAGAACAGTACATTGAAGATTTATCTTCTTTGCAATGGATTCCACTCCAGTACCTTCAACTGTTCAAGCACTTCAAGCCCTGATGTCTCAAATTGTTCTTTTTGACCAGGGTGTAGCCATAGAGGGAAAGGAGAGATTGATTCACAAACATAAATAACCTTTTAAGAAAGTGATATAAATAGGTTTCGTGGCAACCAATTTTATTTGAAAAATAAAAAGAGGCTTTATGGAATTTCATAGTTTAGACCTACGAATCTAAGTTCATATCACTTTACAGGCGAGGAAACTAAGAATCAGAAAAGTAAGTGACCTACCTACCCCAGCCCAGCCAGTAAGTCAGAGAGCCTGAGTCCTAATTTTTATGCTTCTTCAGCCAAACAGTACTGGAAAATGAAAGCTTGAATTATTCTTTGTTCAAAATTTACTATGCTATATACATATTTTTAAATACTAGAGATATATTTTGAAATAATTACTATCATCGTTGCCAAATGAATTTTCCAATTGTATCTTTATTATTATACTTTAAGTTCTGAGATACACATGCAGAATTTGCAGATTACATAGGTTTATAGGTGCCATGGTGGTTTGCTGCACCCATCAACCCGTTATCTACATTAGGTATTTCTTCTAATGCTATCCTTCCCTATGCCCCCCACCACTCGACAGGCCCTGTTGTATGATGTTCCCCTCCCTGTCTCCATGTGTTCTCATTGTTCAACTCCTGCTTATGAGGGAGAACATGTAATGTTTGGTTTTCTGATCTTCTGTTAGTTTGCTGAGAATGATGGTTCCCAGATTCATCCATATTGCTGCAAAGGACATGAACTCATTCTTTTAAATAGCTGTTTGTTAGGTGACCTAGAGCAAAGTATTCAGGATCATTTGCCCCTCAGAGGAGAACTGATCAATATAGACCATCTTGTGGTCTTCAGATAGATAGTTTAAAGGGAGAAGGCAAAAAAAGGATGATGAAATGTATCTCACAGTAAGCCAAAGAGAAGCCAGGCCTTCAGAGCCTTCAGAGATACAAGATTAAGTCTAAAAACAAAAATGGTAAGATGTGACTCAAAAAACAATACTCTTGAATGAAGGCCTCAGCAGCAAGTGTTTCTCTGAACTTCTCCTGCCCTCCTGTCCTGTCTCTTAGTCTCCTTCTTCCCCAAAGCTAGTCATAGAAACTAGAATCCCTCTTCCCCAAGGTGGGTCATAGAAACCAGGACCCCTTTTTCCTGAATGCCAGCCATAAAACCTAAAAATATTACTCTAGCTTTTCTAAAACCTAAAAATATTACTCTACCTTTCTATGTAAAAACTGGTCATAAAAAATTATCTGAACTACCTGGTTTGACTGTCAGAAGACGCCCCCACTGCATTCCAGAGAGGATCCTATCCCACATCCAGAAGGAAGGAATGTGTGCTCAGAGAGGCCAAGAATACAAACAAGCCTTGTTGGGTTTCTCCCACTGAAGTCCATTAGCAGATCATACCCTTTTTATCCAATCATATTTCTATATGGCTGTCCATACTTTGTTCAACCTAAGCATAACAATGGACAATTTCCCCTGTACTTTGGGTCTTCACTCTGAAGGTTCCCGTGTACACATTAATAAAATTTGTATGCCCTTTCTCTTATTTATCTGCCTTTTGTGGGCTGAGTTTTCAGTGAACCTTTAGAGGGGGAGGGGGAAGTTTTTCCTTGGCCCCTATAACAACTATTGGAAGTATAGGATAATGAGAAAGTCTAGACTAAAGTTCCGAGTTCCGTAAGAGGGGTTATAGATGCTTTAAAACACACACACACACACACACACACACACACACACCCTGTAAAAGGAACATTCTCCAGAGAAAAGACATAGATATGGTAGTATGCGCTGAAATGACTCGATTAAATAACATCTCAAGGGATGCTGCGATTACTCCCCACCAGCTCATGCTAAAAATTCATTCTTTTGCAACCAAAATGCCAGAGACAAAACATGTTGAAACAATCAAATGTCTGGTACTCTTTGCTGCCATGAAAACGCAAAAAGAAAAAAATCCCACTCGTTTTGGCAATTTTAAATGCTAGCTTTTATTTACTACTAACTGCAAAAGACACCAATACTGTACAGTAGAACACTTACATAAATCCGGTATTAAACAATAGTGTATGGAATAAATCTAAAGCAGAGCACCATGTATCTTCAAAACTGATACCACAGAATGCAACTTGGTTCAGACAATTCTCAAGAAACCTGAAGAGCTCTTTAAGTGAGTTATCCCAAAGCAAAGGCTCTTGGTTTTACTTTCTAGAAAAAAGTAGAAGTTATTCCAATTCTACATGGTTTAATATGATGTAATTTCTGAACCAAGGAAATACTTTAAATGATTTATTCATTTTATCAAGTGGCACTATCAGCTAATATAAAGTTGACAAATGGCTGGCAGGAAAACAGCTGAATACAATGACGTATGCTCAATATGGGGCTAGTTGTAGATCTATCTCAATTTCCCTAGTCACAGCCCAAAATAATATCCTTTTATTTTAAAGTACTATTTTAAATCAAAAGATAAAATAATTTTAAAGACAAATATAATAGTAGACACTCTAACCACCTAAATCATTTAACCACTAACATAAAATGCTTTTTAAAAACCAAAACAGCAAAAAAAAAAAAAAAAAAAAAAAAATGGCAGTGCAAGAATACATCATACTGCTGCTGAATCTTACATACCCTGAGGTATGTAATGAGAAGTTGGAGGAGATGGAGCAATATAGCCAATTTGCCCAGGATTTATAGCACCATGAATTTGAGAAGAACCACCATATACTGCACCAACTGGATGCCAGGGGGGAACACAGGAATAATCTGGCACAACCGGAAGGCAGGAGTCAAAACCTGGCAAAGGTGGCTGCCCATAGGGATCTGCCATTACTGCATAATAGACTGCTCCATGAGGGACAGATGTAGGATCAGCATTCGGAAAAGTACCTGAAAGAATGTATACAGTATACTTTATATACAAAAAATCACCGAAACAGAACCCTATGCAACATAAATGGATGTTCTCACAAGTGAAAATAAACTTTATTAACTATAAGAAAAATCACAGCAACTGTAGCAGGGGCACTTTAAATACAAATAATGACTAAAACAGGCTACTGAAAGATAATATGAAAATTTCCAAATTAAAATGTGTGAAATATATGTGTCAAATCTATTCAACCTACAGACAACTTTCTGGGATGATTTAGGTACCAACAAGCTAAACACAAAAATATTCTCTAGAGTCTGAGTCCTTCTAGTTAATTAAGCTCTTATAAGAGTTGATCACATTTGAGTCATCCAATAGTTTTACAGTACAGTACACCATCCGAATAACCATTTAGCAATGAAAGATTCAGATATCTAGACAGTCTGGTCTATACTTGAATGTATAGCTCTGAAGAGTACCTTAAAAGTGTCATCTCCTGAATGTCATTAAGATCACATTTTAATTTCATAGCACTTTTGCCACAAGTCAGTTTCAGTGGAAATAAATGCTGTTTTGATCTTCCTATAATGACTATACATATTAGACAAAAGAAAATCTTTCATTATTAGGCTTAGATTAACTATGTGAAATTAAGACTGCCACTGCCTCAGAGCTTACATTTAAAAATAGCTCTATAAAAGGTATACTGCACAAAATTCAAAAAAGTTTGACACTGTAATATGCTTTAAAAAGGGAAAAGAAGAGAGAAAAGAAATTAGTATTCCTAATATGCACCAGGTAACAGTATACTTATACATAAGGTCTCAATTAGTTCTTATAACAACCCTAGCAAATCCGGTATTTCCCATTTTACAAAAAATCAGACTTAAGGAGGGGGTCAAGTAACTTAACCAAGATCACAACCATCAAGTAGTAATGCTGGAATGTGAAACAAATTTGGTTAGGTTAGAAATCCCATTGTTCCTTCTACCCCTGGTAATTCTTTCCGAAAAGGGCAATCCAAAGATCCTATTCTAAATCCCCCAAAATTTGTCCCCATCTGTATTATACTGTGCACTTATAGAACTCAACCCTCTAGAAGAGTGGCTCTCAAAATTTTTGGTCTCAGGATCCCTTTACAGTCTTAAAACTTGAGAACTTCTAATAGGTTTCGTTTATGTTAGTTATAGGTAGAGATATTTACCATATTAGGAATTAAAATGAGAAAGTTAAAAATACTAAATCATGTGAAATAAGTCTATTACATCTTAACACAAATAATTTATAAAAAATGTTTATTTTCCAAAATGCAAAAAAATATGAATGTCATTGTTTTATACTTCTGCAAATTTCTAATGTATAGCTTAATAAAAGAGTTGGATTCCCACATATGCTTCTGTATTTATTATATGTTGCTTGGTTAAAATATATGAAAAAAATATGGCCTCATAAAAATATGTAGTTGGAAAAGTAAAGTATTTTATGTAATTTTGTTTAATTTTTTGAGATGGAATTCTGCTCTTGTCGCCTAGGCTGGAGTGCAATGGCACGATCTCAGCTCACTGCAACCTCCACCTCCCGGGTTCAAGTGATTCTCCTGCCTCAGGTGCCCACCATCATGCCCAGCTAATTATTTTTGTATTTTTAGTAGAGATGTGGTTTCACTATGTTGGCCAGGCTGGTCTCAAACTCCTGATCTCAAGCAATCCACCAGCCTCAGCCTCCCAAAGTGCTGGGATTACAGGCATGAGCCACTGCATCCGGCTCAGTGAAATATTTTAATACCTAGCCTTTTCAGATAATTGTAGATATTCTTTGATGCTACACCCAAACTACATAAGTGATAGTTTCTCAAAGGTCACTGGCAATGTGGATTTTTCAAGCTTTGTTACATTAAAATCCACTGTTTCATTTTGCACTTGGAAAGATCTACTACAAAATCACACTTTGGTTATATCTTGCATTCGTAATTGGGAAACTATTACTTTGCTGACTTATGAAGCTCTTCCAAATGTTGACATATCTCCTCATACGATTTAAGAAACTACATTCAGCTCTACCTTATTATAGGAGTTTTAATTGGTGGGAAGGTGTCAAGCTTATGGTGGAAGATACACATTTTCCAAAATTCTAATTTTGATTTGAAAGCTGAAATTTTGTTTGAAAACAAATATTACTACTTGTTTATCCTAAAGTGACAGGCTCACTTTGTTCATTTAAGAATATGCCGGCCGGATCAACTAAGTGTGAATAACAATAGTTTGTCTATCCCCCTTTCAAGTCAGCAAGAAAGACTCATAATTAATAGCACAAGTCTTTTTCCTTAAGTTAATCATTATACTTCATTTAGTATGCAGAAGTGTTTTTATAAGTAGTTCCATTTTGTCACAAAGAATATTAAACACAACTATTCAATAATAAAAACTGAGTAAAAATAAGAATGTCTTTGATTAAACAGAAAAAATAAAACTGGCATTTTTGTACCATTGGTGTGTGGCAGTGAGGAAAACCTGATTACTTGCACAGTCTGGGGACAGTGCCAATTTGTGCTTAGATTCCAGCAGTTTTACCCACTACTAATTTCTATACCCTCATGCAAGCCAGTGAAAGGGACAAATAAAATTTTCAAATTATTGTGAACACTTCTGGCCTCATGAATCCCTTGAAAGAGTCTTAGGGGCCACAAGAGGTCCACATATCATGCTCTGAGAATCACTGGTATAGTATATGGACCTGATGAAACATATGAAAGCTATTATTAAATTATACACAATAAAATCCAACAGTCTTTCTTGCTGGCAATCTCACTACATACTCACCATTGGCTGGTACTTCTACCTGTGTGCCATTTTCTCTCTTCACCTCACTGTACAATTGAGGGACGGTTTGATCAACCAGAGGTGGTGGCTCAGTATAGACTGGATAATTCTCTGCATGAAACTGCTGCTGCATCTGTGGCACATAGACCATGGAGTGCCAGTAGTTGTGGTAATAGCACTTGAGCAAGAAAGGGCAAAAAAGAAACAAGAAACTTTACTTTTCTCTATTCTTAATTTAATACTGTTCCCCACAAACAAACAAACAAAGAATTGGGCCATGATTTTCAGAGGCAGCAATGACTTTTTTGACCTAAAAACTTGACAATCTGTTCTCTATTAGAACTTTATGATATTTTGCAGCATTTGTATCTCAAAGAATTCTTTCAGGAAAGCATCTAAAAGACCTGTGTAAAAAGATGTCTTTTTTAAAATATGTATATATTTTATTGCACTTTAGGTGTCTCTTACAGTATTTTTAAACACAAAAAACAATGCACACAGTATTTAACAACAGGGAACTGGATAAATTATATATCTGTGATGAAATACTATACAGGCAATAAAAATCATGCTGTCAAATATTTTTTAAAATGCTTGTATTGTTAAAAAATTTAAAAAATTATCATAGAGGTGATTTTAGTTTTCTTTATGCCATAGTATTTTCAAAATGACTACAATGGACACTATGATTTCTAATATGAAAAATAAACTATTCAGCATCTCCTGGTATTCCATAATGTAAAAGGTAGAAGAATATTTTTAAATGCCTCAGTGGAACAGATTACAAAGTTTCCACGTGACATTATAATAAACTAACATAACAGAAAGCGCAAGCAGCTTATCAATTCTTGAAACTGAATTTAAGAAAAATAGTCTCAAGGAAAAAAAAACACCTCATTACTCTCAACTTATAGATGTATACTACTTGGGAAGACACTTTTCTTGACACTGACATGTCTAAAGTTTTAGAGAAATCACTGTCAGGGAATGTGAACTAACCTGAGCATTATCAAGGAGAGCATAGAGTTTATCATCATCTGACAGATCTTAAGATGCATTATTCCTTTCAGTAAATATGCCATCTTGTTATATTTTAAGTCGAGTGTATTTCAGGGGGAAAAATATCCCAGAAAGAATAAAATACAAGAGCTTTCACCTCAACTCAGAGACACCTTTCACTGATAAAGGCATTTATCAGTACCCACCTGCCTCTAGAACTCAGAGGAATGGTTTAAAAAAAAAAAAATTGTTCAGCAAGTATCTATGAACACATGAGTGCTTTAAAAATACAGCTCTTTATTTTTAAAAGTTTTATTAGACTTTAAGCTCTGGGATACATGTGCAGAACATGTAGGTTACATAGGTATATATACAGGTGTCATGGTGGTTTGCTGCACCCATCAACCTGTCATCTACATTAGGTATTCCTCCTAGCACTATCCCCCTCCCCTTGCCCTGCACCCCCTTACAGGCTTCAGTATGTGATGTTCCCCTCCCTGTGCCCATGTATTCTCATTGTTCAACACTCACTTATGAGTGAGAACATGCAGTGTTTGGTTTTCTGCTCTTGTGTTAGTTTGCTGAGGACAACAGTTTCCAATTTCATCCATGTCCCTGCAAAGGACATGAACTCATTTTTTAGTATGGCTGCATAGTATTCCATGGTGTGTATGTGTCACATTTTCTTTATCCAGTCTATCATTGATGGGCAATTTGGGTTGGTTCCAAGTCTTTGCTATTATGAATATGCTGCAATAAACAAAGGTGTGCATGTGTCTTTATAGAAAGATTTATAATCCTTTGGGTATATACACAGTAATGGGATTGCTGGGTCAAATGGTATTTCTGCTTCTACATCCTTGAGGAATCGCCACAGTCTTCCACATGGTTGAACTAATTTACAATGCCACCAACAGTGTAAAAGTGTTCCTATTTCTCCACATCCTCTGTAACATCTGTTGTTTCCTAAGTTTTTAATAATCACCATTCTAACTGGCCTGAGATGGTATCTCAAAGTGGTTTTGATTTGCATTTCTTTAATGACTAGATGATGAGCTTTTCTTCATGTTTGTTGGCTGCATAAATGTCTTCTTTTGAGAAGTGTCTGTCCATATCCTTTGCCCACTTTTTGATGGGGTTGTTTTTCTTGTAAATTTAAGTACCTTGTAGATTCTGGATATTAGCCCTTTGTCATAGATTGCAAAATTTTTCTCCCATTCTGTAGGTTGCCTGTTCACTCTGACAGTTTCTTTTGCTGCGCAGAAGCTCTTTAGTTTAATTAGATACCATTTGTCAATTCTGGCTTTTGCTTTTGCTGCAATTGCTTTTGGTGTTTTAGTCTTAGCCATGCCTATGTCCTGAATGGTACTGCCTAGGTTTTCTTCTGGGATTTTTTATGGTTTTGGGCCTTATCTTTACGTTTTTAATCAATCTTGAGTTAATCTGTGTATATAAGGTGTAAGGAACGGGTTCAGTTTCAGTTTTCTACATATGGTTAGTCAGTTTTCCCAACACCATTCATTAAATAGGGAATCCATTCCCCATTGCTTGTTTTTGTCAGGTTTGCCAAAGATCAGATGGTTGTAGATGTGTGGTGTTATTTCTGAGGCCTCTGTTCTGTTCCATTGGTCTATATCTCTGTTTTGGTACTAGTACCATGCTGTTTCCATTACTGCAGCCTTGTAGTATAATTTGAAGTCAGGTAGCATAATGCCTCCACCTTTGTTCTTTTTGCTTAGGATTGTCTTGGCTATGTGGGCTCTGTTTTGGTTTCACATTAAATTTAAAGTAGTTTTTCTCCAATTCTGCATAGAAAGTCAATGATAGCTTGATGGGGATAGCACTGAATCTCTGAATTACTTTGGGCAGTATGGCCATTTTCACAATATTGATTATTCCCAACCATCATCATGGAATGTTTTTCCATCTGTTTGTGTCCTCTCTTATTTCCTTGAGCAGTGGTTTGTAGTTCTCCTTGAAGAGGTCCTTCACATCCCCTGTAAGTTGTATTCCTAGGTATTTTATTCTCTTTGTAGCAATTGTGAGTGGGAGTTTGCTCATGATTTGGCTATTATTGGTGTATAGGAATGCTTGTGATGTTTGCACATTGATTTTATATCCTGAGACTTTGCTGAAATTGCTTATCAGCTTAAGGAGATTTTGAGCTGAGACAATAGGGTTTTATACATATACAATCATGTCATCTGCAAACAGAAACAATTTGACTTCCTCTCTTCCTATTTGAATAATCCTATTTCTTTCTCTTGCCTGATTGCATTGGCCAAAACTTCCACTACTATGCTGAATAGGAGTGGTGAGAGAGGGCATCATTGTCTTGTGACAGTTTTCAAAGGGAATGCTTCCAGCTTTTGCTTATTCAGCATAATATTGGCTGTGGGTTTGTCATAAATAGCTGTTATTATTTTGAGATACATTCCATCAATACCTAGTTTATTGAGAGTCTTTAGCATGAAGGGGTGTTGAAATTTATCAAAGGCCTTTTCCGCATCTATTCAGATAATCATGTTGTTTTTGTCATTGGCTCTGTTTATATGATGAATTATGTTTACTGATTTAAATATGTTGAACCAGCCTTTCATCACAGGGATGAGGCTGACTTGATCATGGTGGATAAGCTTCTTAATGGTCTGCTAGATTCAGTTTGCTAGTATTTTATTGAGGATTTGCACATAGATGTTCATCAGGGATAATGGCATGAAATTTTTGCTATTGTTGTTGTGTCTCTGCCAGGTTTTGGTATCAGGGTGATGCTGGCCTCATAAAATGAGTTAGGAAGGAATCCTTCATTTTCTATTGTTTGGAATAGTTTCAGAATGAATGATACCAGCTCCTCTTTGTACCTCTGGTAGAATCTGGCTATGCATCTGACTGGTCCTGGACTTTTTTTGGTTGGTAGGCTATTAATTACTGCCTCAATTTCAGAACTTGTTATTCTATTCAGGGATTCGACTTCTTCATTTAGTCTTGGGAGGGAGTATGTATGCAGGAATGTATCCATTTATTCCAGATTTTCTAGTTTATTTGCACAGAGGTATTTACAGTATTCTCTGATGGTAGTTTGTATTTCTGTGGGATCAGTGGTGATATCCCCTTTATCATTTTTTATTGTGTCTATTTGATTCTTCTCTCTTTTCTTCTTTATTCATCTGGCTAATGGTCTATCTATTTTGTTATTCTTTTCTAAAAAACAGCTCCTGGATTCAATGATTTTTTTGAAGGGTTTTTTCATACCTCCATCTCTTTCATTTCTGCTCTGATCTTAGTTATTTCATGTCTTCTGCTAGCTTTTGAATTTGTCTGCTCTTGCTTCTCTAGTTCTTTTAATTTTGATGTTAAGGTGTCGATGTCATATATTTCCCGCTTTCTCGTGTGGGCATTTAGTGTTATAAATTTCCTTCTAAAAACTGCTTTAATTGTGTTCCAGAGATTCCGGTTATGTTGTCTCTTTGTTCTCATTGGTTTCAAAGAACAAAATATAGCTCTTTAAATGTCTTTGAATTTGTGTAATTTTCACATAAAATGGAAAGATAGTCATAAAATATTTTAGGATAATTCCTTTATTTTTGAGATAAAACAACACAGTGAAAAGTTAGCATGTAATGCTAAATATAATAGCTAGCCTAATATATGCTGTTGTGCTGCTTACAGCCCAGTACCTCTCTCTTCAGTTTAACGACTATTTTATAATAAGAGAAAATAAAGCACAAGGAGTCTAAATCAGACAACTTATATCATATTCAGAGATCTCTTAGATAGAAATAATTTTTTTTTTAATTTTTAGTCCCCTTAGTGCTTTTGGCTTTTGAAGTTCAAGTCTGATTATCAAAATGGCTTATACTTTGAATATAGGGCTTATCAAAACAATTTTAACATGATGCTTACCTGCAATCCTAGATTGAAATAGTACTGCAAAACTTTTGTATCTAAAATTAAAAATTAAAAAAAAAAAATTAGTGACTAGACTGACATAAGCAATTAGAATTATCTTTTTAAAAGCTTTTCTGGCCAGGCGCAGTGGCTCACACCTGTCATCCCAGCACTTTGGGAGGCTGAGGTGGGCAGATCACATGAGGTCAGGAGTTCAAGACCATCCCAGCCAACATGATGAAACCCTGTCTCTACTAAAACTACAGAAATTAACTGGGGGGGGGGGGGGGGGGTGGCAGGTGCCTGTAATCTCAGCTACTCGGGAGGCTGAGGCATGAGATCGCTTGAACCTGGGAAACGGAGGTTGCACTGAGCCAATATTGTGCCACTGCACTCCAGCCTGGGTGACAGAGTGATACTCCATCTCAAAATAGGGAGGAAAAAAAGCTTTTCTCTTTGGGCATTATTAAGGTAGATATCAATGTAATCTTGCCACATTAGTATCACTCTTAATTTTACCTTATAATAAATGACTACTTACCTACCAATATAGGTAAGATTATTTTCTCATCTAAGGTTTAGTTACCAAATACAAATTTCATTTCTAATCTTAATTTTAGGCTGATGTTATAGGAATGTCACTCAGGCAATATTTAGTAAGAATCCAATAAAGGCATTTTCTCACTTGTTTCAAGATGGAGTTTTTAGTTTAATACACTTCTAGTACATAAGCAATCATTTTGGTCCTCAGTTACTAGCACTACTAGACAGTACAGACTAATGTTCTACTGACAGAAGTTAGTGATGCCTGCTGAGAGAATTAGAACAATATGAAACAAATCACCTTGCTTTTATTTACCGTGACTGACATACCACCACCAGAACTCCAAAGAGAAGGGCAATGAGCAAGGTAATTTCTCTAGACATTACGAAACTAAACTACTTCATAAATGAACAAAAACTGTTCTTAGCATTACAGTTGTATCTCTAAATTTATTTTTATTCCTTTGAGATCCACACATATTTTTATTTATAAAATAATATAACCTGAGTTCCACTAATAGATGCACTTTCAGAAAACCCCTCTTTCTTAGGTTGGAGACTCCCTAAACAAACAATTTACCGCCATTTAAAAAAAAAATTGGCGTCTATTTTCACTGTTATATGGGAACACAGTATAACGCCTAATGCTCAAGCTAAAGAATATTTTAAAAAATAGGAAATAAGTTCATAAGTGGCATTGGATTCTACTCCTTGATACAAACATAAATAAAAAAATAACTTGTATACACAAATGCACATAGTATTAATAGCCAAAAAGTGAAAGCAACCCAAATTTTCCTCAACTTACAGATAAAATATGATACAGACACACTTTGGAGATATCATAGGTTTGGTTCCAGAACAAATAAAGACAATATTGCAAGGAAGTGAGTCACACCAATCTTTTGGTTTCCCAGGACATATAAAAGTTATGCTTATTGCTGGGCACAGTGGCTCACTCCTGTAATCCCAGCACTTTGGCAGGCTGAGGTGGGCAGATCATGAGGTCAGGAGATTGAGACCATCCTGGCCAACATGGTCAAACCCAACTCTACTAAAAATACAAAAATTAGCCAGGAAGGGTGGAACACACCTGTAATCCCAGCTACTCAGGAGGCTGAGGCAGGAGAATCACTTGAATCTGGGAGTTAGAGGTTTCAGTGAGCCGAGATCATGCCACTGCACCCCAGCATGGTGACAGAGGAAGTCTCCATCTCAAAAAAAAAAAAAAAAAAAAAAAAAAAGTTATGCTTATACACTATAGTCTTTTTAGAGAATAATAACGTTAGATCTAAGAAAACAATGTATATACCTTAAATTTAAAATACTCTATTGCTGGCCGGGCACAATGGCTTATGCCTGTAATCCTAACACTCTGGGAGGCCAAGGCAGGTGAATCACCTGAGGTCAGGAGTTTGAGACCAGCCTAGCCAGCATGGGGAAACCCCATCTCTACTAAAAATACAAAAATTATCTAGGCATGGTGGCGAGCGCCTGTAATGCCAGCTACTCAGGAGGCTGAGGCAGGAGAATCACTTGAGCCCAGGAGGTGGAGGTTACAGTGAGCCAATATCACGCCACTGTACTCCAGCCTGGGTGACAGAGACTCCGTCTCCAAAAATAAATAAATAAATAATAAATAAAACACTTTAGTGCTAAAAAATATGCTGACAGAAATGAAGGGAGAAAAGGGAGAATATGTTGTTGGAAAAACAGTGCCAATAGATTTGCTTGACACAGGGTTGTCACAAATCTTCAATTTGTAAAACAATAAAAATCATGATATCTATAAAATACAATAAAACAAAGTACAACAAAATGGAGTATGCCAATACATCCATATGATGGAATGTTTTGGCCATAAGAAAGAAGAATGCACTGATATATGTGACAACATGAACCTTGAAAACAGTATGCTTAGAGAAAAAATGTTAGTTGCAAAAGACCACATATTGTATGATTCTACTTATATGAAATGTCCAGAATAGGCAAATTCATTGATAAAATAGAGGAGTGATTGATTGCTAAGCCAGGGAGAATGGGGAACACCTACTAATGAATATATTATATGTTCTCAGGATTAATAGAACTTAGATGGGAGAGTAAATGGGGAAAGAATTTGAGTTGAATCACCATGCCAGCAAATGCTTAGGAGAAGAAAATCCACTACATAGAGTTCACATAGAAGCAGAAAGAGATAAGGTTGGACAGAGACTAGACTGTAGAAAGTCATAAATGCCATACTTAGTCTGTTGAACTTTACACAGAACAAAAAAATGACTGAAGAGTTCTGAGCTAGGAAGAGACACAAAGTGGAATAGTACCAGAGTAATGAGACCAATGGAGAAGCTACTCTAATTGTTCAGGGGCAAGGTGATAAACGCATGATCAAGGAAAGAGGCAATGGATATTTTTTTAAAACCCTCTGTGAAACCCAGATTTTTAATAAATCAGCCAAGGTTAACATGCAAAAATCAATTCTCTATTTATGTACAGGACAAAATAGGAAAACAAAAGTTTTAAAATTCTATTTACTACAGCTCCAAAAACCCAAATACACAGGAACACATTTAACAGAAGAGAAGACTGCTACACCAAAAAAAACCAAAAAACAAGAAATATGTTGAGAAACCAAACGCAGCCTAAATAAATTGACAGATATACTATGATACCATGTTCATGAATTCAGAGATCATATTGTTAAGAACTGACATTCTCCTCAAATTGAGCTATAGATTATAAATACAATCCCAAATTTCCAGAAGGTTTCTCTTTTATTTTTGATAAAATTTGATAGTCTAAGAGAAATGCAAATTACCCACCTTACTTCAAGTATCTTACTAAAAAGACAATGTGGTAATGACGTAAGGATTAAAAAATAGATCAATGCAATAGAAGAGGGCACACAAATAGACCTGCACTTAAAACGGTCATTTGATTTTTGACTAAAACACCAAAGTGATCCAATAAGGAAAGAAAAACCTTTTTTTACAAATGGTACTGCTGGTATACTGAAGATCCATAAAGGCAAACAAACAAACAAACAAACAAACACCACAAATCACCTCAACCTCCATCTCATACCATCCACAAAAATTAATTTCAGATGTGTAGTGGACTTCAATATAAAACTAAAAGCATTACGCTTTTTAAGGAAAACACAGGAGACAATCATAATGACTTGCGAGTAAGGCAAAGGTGTTTTTTGTTTTTTGTTTTTTGTTTTTTTAAATTGAGTCAGAGTCTCATTCCATCACCCAGGCTGAAGTGCAGTGGCATGATCTTGGCTCAGTACAACCTTCACCTCCTGGGTTCAAGTGATTCGCCCACCTCAGCCTCCCAAGTAGCTGGTATTACAGATGCATATCACCACACCCGGCTAAATTCTGGTAGAGGTGGGATTTCACCATGTTGGCCAGGGTGGACTCAAACTTCTGACTTCAAGTGATCTGCCTGCCTTGGCCTCCCAAAATGTTAGGATTATAGGTGTGAGCCACCATGCTAAGCCAGTTTCTTAGATTACAGAAAATACATAACAAAAAAATGATCAATTAGATTTTATCAGAATTAAAATCCTCTACTCATCAGAAGGTACCATGAAGAAAATAAATAAGCCACAGAATAGGAGCAGATATTCAGAAAACATATCTGACAAAAGACTAGCATAGAGAATATGTAGAGAACTTCCACAACTCAATAACAAGCACCCAATAAGAGAGTAGTCAAAATATAACACTTTACAAAAAATATGCAAATGGCAAATAAGCACATGAAAAAAGTACCCAAACAACTGGACATTCACATGCAAAAACAGGAATCTACACATAGACTTTATATACTTCACAAAAAAAGTCACTCAAAATGTATCACAGACCTAAAAGTGAAATGCAAAACATAAAACTCCTAGACGGTAACAGGAAAAAATCTAGATGACCTTGAGTCTGGCAATTGCTTTTTAGATATAATACCATAGGCATGATCCATAAAAGAAATAATTTTTAAGTTGGAGTTCCTTAAAATTAAAAACATCTGCTCTGCGGAAGATACTCAAGAGAATGAAAAGACAAGCCACAGACTTGGAAAAAATATCTGCAAAAGACAATACCTCATATAATAGACTGTTACCCAAAATATACAAAGAACTCTTAGAACTCAGTATGTAAACAACCTGAATTAAAAACAGGCCAAACACCTTAACAGATGTTTCACCAAAGATATACAGATGGCAAATAAGCACATGAAAAGATGCTCCATGTTGGACTTCACAGAGAAAATGCAAATTAAAACAATGAGATACCATTATACACCTATTAAAATGGCCAAAATCCAGAACACTGACATCATTAAATACTGGCACGAATCTGGCATGAATGTGGAACTACAAGAACACTCATTAATTGCTGGTGGGAATGCAAAATAGCCATTCTGGAAGACAGTTTGACAGTTTCTTATAAAAGAAAAGATACTCTTATTCAATCGAGTAATTGTAATCCTTGGTGTTTACCCAAAGGGGTTAAAAATTATTTCCACACAAAAACTTGCACGTGGATGTTTAGGGCAACTGCAACAGAAAGTGGAAGCAACCAAGGTGTTATTCAGTAGATGAATGGAATGAATGGATATATTAACTGTGGTACATTCGGATAATAATTTGGTGAGGAATCTTAAATATATATTGCTAAAAGCCAATCTGAAAAGGCTATATACTGCATGATTGCAACTATATGGCATTCTGGAAAAGTCAAAACTATGGAGACAGTAAAAGATTAGTCATTGCCAGGAGATGGGGGATGAACAATAATAGGCAGAGCACAGATTTCTGAGGCAGAGACGCTGCATTATAGCATCTATGTGATGCTATAATGAAGGATACAAGCCATTATACATTTGTCCAAACTCATGAAAGTGCAACAGAGAACATTAATATAAACTATGGCCTCTGGGTGATAATGATGTGCCAAGGTAGGTTCATCACTGTAGCAAATAAACCATGCTGGTATGGTGGGGGACACTGATAACATGGGAGGCTACAGACATGGGGGGGCTGGTGGAAAATGGGAAATCCCTATGCCTTCCTCCCAATTTGGCAACAAACAGAAAACTGCTCTACAAAATAGATTTTTTTTTAAACATGATCAGTCACCAGAATGGATAAAGTTAAAGACAGTGGCAACGAAAAATGTTGGTGAGGAAGAGAAACAACTGGAATTCTCATACACTGTTGGTGGAAGTGTAAAATGGTACAACTTTGAAAAAATGTTTGGCAGTTACTTATAAAAGTAAACACATATCTCTTTATGACGCAGCAATTCCACTGCGAGGTATTTGCCCAAGGGAAATAAAAATGTATGTTTACAAAGACTTTTACAACAATGTACATAGCAGCGTTTTTCATAACAGCCCCAAACTCCAAATAGTCCAGCTATCTATCACCAACAGAAGAATGGACAAACTGGAATCGTCATACAATGAAATGCTACTCAGCAATGAAAACAAGTGGGCTACTGACACATGCAACAACAGACAAATCTCAAAATTATGCCAAGTTTAAGAAGCTTTCCATAAAGATTATATAATACAAGATCACATTATATAAAATTCTAAAACAGGCAAAACTAATCTATGGTAGAAAAAAGTCAGAACAGTTGTTATCTCTAGGGGGATCATGGGAAAAACTGGGAAAGAGCACGAGGCAACTTTGTGGGACAATGTTAATAGTTTATACCTTGATAGGGATTTGGGTTACACAAGCACGTGCATGCATATGTTAAAACTAAGCTAATGTGCACTTAAGTTTAGTATATTTCATTATATGTAAACTGTACATCAAAAAGTAAAAAAAACTACTTAAAATGTATCCTGAGGTTTTAATGGGGAAATGTACAAATGTCTACAATTTACAAATGATACAAATGTATCAAAAAGGAGATGGATTAATAGAGATGGATGGAGGGAAAGACTGAATAGATATGTGATAAAGTAGTTAAACATTTATGATAGAATATAGGTGATAGATAAGACTTCATTTTAAAATTTAACTTTGATAAATGTTTGAATATATTCATAGTAAAATATTAGGAAAAATACAAAATCAGAATTTTGTGGTGACTAAGTACATCTCAGGCATAGGTAGGTAAGGGAAGGGAGAAAAGTAAAGGAATCAGGGTTTAGATATTGGGCAAATTAGGTGGAAATGATACCACTTAACAAAATAGAAAACCACGGAGAAAAGTCAACGTTTTGTGTGACTTGGGGAAAAGATAAATATGAGGAATTTCATTACTGAAATGAAAGCTAAAAACTACATGAAAATGTCCAGCAAGTATCTGGAGACAAGTAACTAAAAACTTTTGATGCCAAGGCTAGCTAGATTTAAGAATCAACTACACAGAAATAACAGTGAAGTTTAAGGATAGGAAAAAAACAGAAGGGAGCTAAAGAAAATCTTGGTGATTAGAGGTTGGAAAAAAAAATAGAGAAGCAGCTAGAAAGAAAAGAAGAAAATGTTATAGCAAGAAAGTATAAGTAAGCTACAAACAATTCTCGACTATAATTCTCTTGAGAAATATGTCAATGAGGGTAATAAAGAACTTCCAATGAAAAACTACTCCTTAGACGTTTAAGAAAACACGGCGGAAATTCAAGGCAGATAAGACTCCTAATCCCCACTCCCCCAAATCTTTAAAGTTCAGTTGAAATTCTAAATATAAAATATTTCGGAGGCCGAGGCGGGTGGATCACGAGGTCAAGAGATCGAGACCATCCTGGTCAACATGGTGAAACCCCGTCTCTACTAAAAATACAAAAATTAGCTGGGGATGGTGGCGCGTGCCTGTAATCCCAGCTACTCAGGAGGCTGAGGCAGGAGAATTGCCTGAACCCAGGAGGCGGAGGTTGCGGTGAGCCGAGATCGTGCCATTGCACTCTAGCCTGGGTAGCAAGAGCGAAACTCCGTCTCGGGGGAAAAAAAAAAAAAAAAAAAATATATATATATATATATATATATATATATATATATATATATAGTAATAATTCATGTACTTGTGGAAACAATTTAAGAAATAAAGAAAAATTTGATACCAAGTCCTGTTTTGCAAAAAGACAGTTAAGAAAAGAAAATCAAAGACGGCCATTCTTCAGAGTAGGCATGTAGCTACCAAAACGAAACAAAACAAAAAAACAGCAGTACACATCAACTCAACCATTCATTTGTTGATGATGTAGAAGATATTGTTTTCAGCTTTTAATTGCTCCTTTCCTTAGTCACTTCCTGCATTGTGTTCTCAAGTCAATTTTCATTTGGTACCCCATTTCCCAATAGGTCAACCGAAGAGAGATATACTCTAAAAATATTTTTTAAATCTCAGACCCCTCAGCTAAGTCTCAAAATCTACTTACCTTGAGGCAAATCACTGCCACTTGGATCACAGGAATAAGATGGAGGTGGTGGTGGTGGTAAATTTGAAGCCTCTCCCACATCAAGAGGAGGAGGAGGAGGAGGAGGAGGCGGTGGTGGCGGTGGTGGTAGTGGTAGAGAGGTACCAGCATGAGGAGTAGGAGGAGAATGGCATGGATAGGATGGTGAGGCAATCACTAACAAAGAAACAAAACATTTAACAGAGCGATATACAACTATAACACCTTATGAACAGTAGGTTCATCTACTTTTCTTGCCTCCAGTATGGTCAAAGAACTCAATTCTTACTGGTTTGGCTTAAAAAAAAACCATGGACAGTGAATTGTCTACATTCTCTTACACATAACAATCGAGAACTAGTTTATTACAGGTCGTTTTAAGAAAATTATTGGAAATTAAAAGGGAACAAACTGGAAGACGCAGAGCTTTGACTATCAGACTTTGAACAAACTTAGCTAACAGGTACATAAATAAAACGTAATTACAGCAAGATTTTTACTTAGCTTAAGACCCAATGCAAATTTAAGAACGTTTTCAGCAATCCGTCACTCTCAGTCAAATCACAAAATGTAGAAGCTAGTAAGAGATGGACTAAAGTGGACAGATTACAGATTTTAGCAATCGTTGAAGGTTTCCACTGGTAGCATCTGAGGAATATAGGGAACTTTAAATCACGACTGTCCCATTTCTAAGGAGATACAGAATCTAAAAACAGGCTAGATACAATATCTTATCCTTTTAACTTTCTATACCTGTTACTATAGCTTAGAAACAATCAATACTCATTTAAAAGTTTGTTTTTGACATAAGAAATTCAGATGTAATTATGTTTAAATATTAATCCTCTATGATGATAAAGGAAACAATGTGTTTACAACCTAGTTAAAACACATATCTGCATATACAACACAACTGGTAAATTTGTTAATTTTTTTTCTTTTTACAAAAGATGATTAATACAAATCCTTCAAGTTTAACTGAATCATTTTAGCCAGCTTAAATCCAAGTACAAAATTTCATCATTGTGTTATCTGCATTATCATATCATTTTAACCCTGAGAAACATAGAAAGTTCAGTCTTATTCTATAAAAGTTTAAATTCAGAGTTTTAGCACACTAAGTTTATCACAGAAACAATTCACACAAGCTGAATTTGTTACTCTGATGTTTTAGCAAGACATAATCCACAGTTTCCATTTACTTATCAGTACAAACAATATACTCACCTATATCATTTGTACGATTACAGGCTAACACGAATAGATCTATGTCTTTGGGTGATCTAAAACTTTATAAACAACTTTTTAGGAGTAATACAATTATTATCTCTTCATTGTGGCATTGGTTACACAAGTCTGCATTTGTCAAAGCTTACAGAACTGGGCACCAAAAATGAATTATACTGTATCTAAATTAAACAGTAAATTTTTAAAGCTTGCTCAACTAGCTGTTTTGGAGTTTTGTCATACATTTAGAAATCTTGGAGAGAGATCCAAGATGGCTGATCACTAGCAGCTCGGGATTGTAGCTCCCACTGAAAACGCAAAGAACGAGAGGACGCCACACCTTCACATGAATTCTTATTGCTCACGCACCAGGAGATTCCCAGCAGAGGAGCCCCACGGGTCGCCAGCGCGACTCTTGTGACCAGCGAGGCGGTTTTGCCGGCGCCTCGGAGCGTCGGTTCTTGGTGCAGAGTCAGAAAAGCACCATCCATCTTAACGCCGCCGATTTGGTCCGCGCAGTGGGTTGCTCAGATTTCGGCGCTGAGAATCAATAAGTTGGACGTCCACTCAGAAACCTAATTACAAAGACGCTAATTATAAAGACCACAGATGGATAAATCTACAACGAAGGGAAGAAAACAGCCAAAAAAGGCTGAGAATACCCAAGATCAGAATGCCTCTCCCTCAGCGGGGGATCCCAGTTCCTCATCAGCAACAAAACAAGGCTTGATGGAGAACGAGTGTGTTCCAATTACAGAAGCAGGCTTCAAAACGTGGATAATAAGAAACTCCTGTGAATTAAAAGAACTTATGCTAACACAATCTAAAGAAACTAAGAACTTTGAAAAAAAGGTTTGACGAAATGTCAACAAGAATACAAAATTTAAAGAGGAAAATAAGTGAATTGATGGAACTGAAAAACGCAATACGAGAACGACGTGAAGTATGCACAAGTTTTAACAGCCGAATTGATCAAGCAGAAGAAAGGATATCAGAGGTCGAAGACCAACTCAATGAAATAAAACAAGAAGACAAGATTAGAGAAAAAAGGATAAAAAGGAATGAGCAAAGTCTCCAAGAAATATGGGACTATGTGAAAAGACCTAATCTACGCTTGATAGGTATACCTGAATGTGACGAAGAGAATGAATCCAAGCTGGAAAATACGCTTCAGGATATTATTCAGGAAAATTTTCCCAACGTAGTAAGGCAGGATAATATTCAACTCCAGGTAATACAGAGAACACCACGAAGATATTCCTCAAGAAGAGCAACTCCAAGGCACATAATCGTCAGATTCACCAGGGTTGAAATGAAGGAGAAAATACTAAGGGCAGCCAGAGAGAAAGGTCAGGTTACCCACAAAGGGAAGCCTATCAGACTCACAGCAGATCTCTCAGCAGAAACCCTACAAGCCAGAAGAGAGTGGGGACCAATATTCAACATCCTTAAAGAAAACAACTTTCAACCAAGAATTTTACATCCAGCCAAACTAAGCTTCATAAGTGAAGGAAAAATAAAGTTTTTTGTGAACAAGCAAGCACTCAGAGAATTCATCACCACCAGGCCTGCTTTACAAGAGCTTCTGAAAGAACCACTATACATAGAAAGGAACAAACAGTATCAGCCTTTCTAAAAAATACCAAAAAGTAAAAAACATCAATATAATGAAGAATTTACATCGACTAATGGGCAAAATAGCCAGCTAATATTAAATGACAGTATTAAACTCACATATATCATTATCAATTCTAAATTTAAATTGACTAAATTCCTCAATTCAAAGACAGCCAATTTGGACAAAAAACTAAAACTGTATGCTGCATCCAGACCCATCTCACATTCAAGGATACACAAAGACTCAAAACAAAGGATGGAGAGAGACTTACCAACCAACCAGAGAGCAAAAATAAATAAATAAAAAGCAGAAGTTACAATTTTTGCCTCTGATAAAATAGTATTTAAAGCAACAAAGATCAAAAGAAGCAAAGAAGGACATTATATAACGATAAAAGAATTAATGCAACAACAAGAAGAGTTAAAGGTCCTAAATATACACGCACCCAATACAGGAATACCCAGACATACAAGACTTATAAAGAGACTTAGACTCCCACACAATAATAGTGGGAGACTTCAACATTAATATTAGACAGATCAATGAGACAGAAAATTAACAACGATATCCAGGACTTGAACTCAGATCTGGAACAAGTAAACGTAATTAACATTTATAGAACTCTCCACTTTACACAAAATATACACTCTTATCAGTACCACATCATATCAACTTAGAAGTTTAAACGAAATGTTGGTTGGCTCCTTGTTTGTTATTCTCTTCCCTCATTTTCTTTCATGTCTCCATTATTAAGGACAATTATAGGCATACCCATATTTAAACTGCATTCTAGCCCGGGCAGCAAAGCAATACCCCCATTCTCTCTCCCTCTTCCTCTTTCTCTTTCTTCCTCTTCTTTACTCTTTAAAAAAAAAAAATAATAATAATAATAATAATTCCTCATCCCATTCAACCAAATAAAAAAAAAAAATAGAAATCTCTAATTTTACAGTTTTGGGAGAGGAATTTAATTTTCAGAATATCTCCAAATGTTGTAGATACAGATTTTTTTTTAATAAAATGGTTCCAACAAAACTCTGCTCTTACTCCTTTTAAACTAGCACTGAAAACAAATCATACCATCTTTTTAAAAAAGCGAATGGAGAAAGGCAATTAGCCAAAGATAGTAGAACGTTATTATGATCACTAGGTAAAAACCAACTACTAGACGTAGAAATGGCTAAATACATTCTCATGGGCCTGAAAGAATCAATAGTAGACATAATTTGGGGGTTACTTTGTCTGAATTCACCTTCCTTATAAATGCACAGTATTACAATAAACCCTCTACAAAAAAAGCTTTTACAATTTCAAGTTTCTACAGAGATGCATCAGCATCTCATCCTTAGACTTACGAAGAGCTCCACAGGCTTAACATATATAATTCAAGGGATGGCTCAAGAATTATAGAAACATCTTCTGAAATACTAGTAGAAATCAATGTAATGCATTTGGAATGCTCATTTCCCCCATCCCTGTAGCTGTAGTCTGCTTCAGGACACTTCAGAAGAGAACATAAATATATATAATAATATACTGTTGCTTCTCCAAAAATCACAGAGCAGGGCCAAGGTGTGGTGAGATGCAGCAGTGCAAAATTTAAACAGCTACCCAAACTAATACAAAGAAAACTGTTATGAATACAACATCAAAATTTTCAATAAAGACAGGATCCAACCCTGTACTTGCATGACCCCAAGAGTATATGCCTCACTCAACTCTCCTTAAACCTGGTACACAGATCCTGTCTTTATTTAAAATTGACACTTCGTTCTCAAATTTTTTATATTAATCTTTATTTTTTTAAATGATAAAGTGTTATTTATCTTGACTACTGTGGTGTGTGTGTGTGTGTGGTTTTTTTTGTTTGTTTGTTTGTTTTTGTTTTGTTTGTTTGTTTTTGACATTCTATTAAATTTTGCACTCAGGGAGAGTCACTGATTCCAGCCCTGGCAAAAGACTTAGCAACATTTACTGAAATCCAGAGCTTGAAGTTGACAGGATTTAATGCCTAAAAGGAGACTCATAATTAAGGGCAATCATCACATGTAGTTACCTGGCAGATTAGCAGTCACTTAAGGATGGGAGGGGCCTGCCAGAGAGAGATATGAACAACAAAGTGGGAAAAATCAGTTGTTTCATCTAGAGGATGAACAAGAATGACAAAGAGCAACTAAAAAGCAGCTGGATCTAGTAAAGTAGATCTATAGTTGAGGTTCATTAAGTGACTAAACAAAAAGTAAATAAATGAAGGCAGTACACATTTTAAGAAACATCTGGCATTTAAATGGTAATCTTTCAATGATTCCACAAATAAAACATTACAATTCTT